ATTAATGCCTTGAATTTTATGCGAGCAGCTACTGGTAGCCAGTGCAGATTGATAAACAGAGGTGTGACGTGCATTCTTTTTGGCTCATATTTGTATATTATATATATTTTTTTTTTTTATGAATTAATTCATTTATTAAATACTATATTACATATTAAATAGTATATTATATATATATTACATATTATTGATTTCATTTTAAATTTCATGTTAAATAAAAAGATACTTTGTTTGTGTTGTTTTGAAGTCAGTGTTATTTTGTGTCTCACTCTCGCATGTGTTTCCATCGGAAAGCGTTCCAGGTTGCCACGGCTCCTGATGGTATCCAGGGCAACACTCATTACAGCTCTCGCCACAAGTGTTGTGCTCACACACACACTGCAGCTTCTGTGCAGACAAAAGAGAGGAGCGAGTGAGACACACACACACACACACACACACATCCTCATACATAGTGTTTATTTGAATTTACTGTATTGTATTTTATGCAACAACAAAAAAAATAGCTTTATTCAAGTGATCTACATTTTTACGACAGCAGGCATAATTACAGTGACTTCAGGGAGGCGGGGCTTCAGTTCATATTTGATTGACAGCTTGAGTTCCAATGGGATGGTGTTTGTTGTCAGTTACCTTGGTCACAGGGTCCCAGGGGCAGCTCTGGGCGTGGCCATAACAGATTCAAATCAAGTGAAATATATATATTAACTCTCATGACAATAATGAAAATAAATAAAAATGATTTTCATTTTCTTTATGCAAAAATATAAATATTTGAAATCTAAGAAAACATATTTTCCTTGTGATTTTGGAGTGATTTTCTTATGAAGAATTTAATTGACTTCAATTTTCTGGAAACTAATTTTTATTAATAGATGAATTTCGAAAATAAATGTCCAGGTCATATTCACCCCAAAACTGAAAAGAAAAGAATATATATATATATATATATATATTGTATTATTCATTTTCTGTTCTTTTAATTTATATATAATTTAAATGACAGGAAATAATATTACAGACATACATACATGTGTATATTACATACACACAAATATTAATTAAATAAATAAAAAATATTATACACATATATAAAATAACAACGTTATAATTATATATTTTATATATTATTATATATTCTATATATACACATTTGTGTATTTTACCTTAAATCATCCTGTTTAGACAATTTTTTGTTCTAATTAAAATCAGCATAAACTAAAATATATGCTTAATTGCCATGACAATGATGAAAATAAACAAATGTAAAATGTGTCTATTTATTTATTTCCTTCACTTTATGCAAATATATAAATATTTTTCTCGTGATTTTGGGGCGATATATAACATTTCTTGTATCTGTGAGGCTCCTGCTATCAGACATACAGTAGCTGGTGTATTGTGTGTATGAGACGAGACACAAACCCGTGCTTGTTCGGCCTCCTGCAGCTCAAGCATCCTTTTGGCCCGGGCCAGGTGGTCCATTTGCTCAAAGGCCTTCACCTTTCCCCGGAAGGTGCGGTTGGCGGGGTCGACAACAGGGTTAGAGGTCGTATCGTCAGCTGGGCCCGTCTTCATTGTGAAACTGGGCTTCTGAGCTACCGGCGGTGGAAGAGGTTTGTTACCGACAGGAGCATCACTGCTGACTGTGCTGCTGGAACGAGAGTCCAAACTCCTGGCGTCTGCAGGACGTGAAGCTGCCCGGACCTGCAGGAACACCAAGTGTTTGAACTCACTTACTGTCTGTAATGGGCCAAAGGAAGGCCTCAGGGGAGGAAAAGGAGCTATAATGGAAATGAGAGACTGACCTTAGGGGGTTCAGGAACAAATGATGGAGGCGGGCTGGGGTCCCGCTGCACCTCTTTACTCGCAGGTTTCTTTAAACGCTCATGAGGAACAGGTATGTGTCTCTGCGTAAGTCAACAAAAAGTGAGAAATGTAGCATTAATTCATTGAAAAATACATTATAAAAATAAAAACCTTAATACACACCTTCTACAATAGACAAGGTTTTCACTTCCTGAATTAAAATGTAATTTGATAGAAGTCTTCGGAAGAAAAAAAACCATTATGTAGGTTTTTGTATTATTATTCTAACAATAATTATTATTACTACTATTATTTTTCATTTTAAGTACACTACTGTTCAGAGGTTTGGTGTTGTTTTTTTAATGTTTGAAAGTAGTCTCACCAAGGCTGTATTTTTGTAAAAAAAATATGACATTATTACAATTTAAAATAACTTTTCCATTTTAACATTTTTATTGAATGTAATTTATTCCTTTATTTTTCAGCATCATTACTCCAGTCTTCAGTGTCACATGATCCTTCAGAAATCATTCTAATATGCTGATTTGCTGCTTAAGAAACATTTCTGTTGAAAATTGTTTTGCTGCTTAATATTTTAGTGGAAACTGTGATACTTTTTTCAGGACTCCTTGATGAATACAAAGTTCATAATAATACAAATACAAAGTAACAAATGTCTTTACTGTCACTTTCCATCAATTTAATACCTCTTTCCTGAATAAAAATATAAATTATATTAAAAAAAACCCTACTAACCCCAAATTTTTCAACAGTAGTTTAAAGTAATGTTGTTATCATTAAAAAAAGAAAAGAAAAAGAAAAACATAATTCCTCCAAGTTACATCAATGAGGTGTAACCAACATGCAGGAAGTCATTTTCATCATGAAACATAAAATTACAATCACAGAATGGATGCTTATAAAAATTGTGTTTTCTTGTTAGTTGGAAAAAACTATTTTTTGCCTTGAAAAATGTTATTAAAGATTTTGTGTACATTCACATGTATTTAAACCTTTTGACTGCTACAGTTATTAATCTAGGCCTTTTACATGGCACATGCATTCAATGTTATTGAACTATCTACCAGTAAAAACTCTTTTTTTTTTTAAAGAGCCTAAAGACCATGTGTCATTGATGTTGAACATGAATGTGTGTTGAATATGCAGTTTCACAAGTGACCTGTGGGGAGCAGCGTGCACAAACACTTTTCTTATCACTGATACTCTTATGACGGTCAGTGATAATGATATCGATACTGAAAACAGGACGACTGACCTTTACAGATGACTGATTTTTATAATCAAATGACTCCGTGCTGAAATGTTTGCAGGTAGCATTTGGGTAGGGCTTAAATGACATTCCTGACAGTGGTAAAAGGACAGTAGTAGTTTCCACAGCACACTAACCTCCTCACTAACAGGCTCAGACGAGCGGCTGATGGCTGACATCGGCTGCGGCTCGTCGGTAAATAATAACTTGGGAAAGAGTAAAATGGATCTTATATGGTTGTAATTTCTACATTATCTGAGGAAAGACTCATCAGACTAACCAGTGAACAGGTGGGAGCAGGTTTTCCGCAGTTTAACTGCTTGTTCGTAAAGCTTGCGTGAACTGCGGTTAGAGCCGGGAGCCAGGCGGTTTCTCATGGTCTTCACCCCCTGCTTACTGTCTGGGTTGAGGAAAATGACGATGGGATACCACTGGGTGTAGTTTAGGGTGTCTACAGCCTTCGGGGTGACATCGAGCAGAGCGTGTCGATCCTAGGAACGAGAAAAGAATATTCTTAGATATTTATGAATAATTGTTATGTACACATATTCAGAAGGGTGATTGTGGGCTGTTTACCTGCTCGATGATCTGACGGATAATATTCAGTCTCACAACACCAGACGACTTCTCTGAGCCCGCGTCTTTCGGTTCGGTCTCTGTCATGGGAAAAACGCAGATCAAACGCCTCATCCACACATACACATCACTATATCTGAAGAGATCTTTCATAAAAGTTGTGAATGGCTTACTTGCTATGATAAACTCATCTGGAAGATCATTGCCAAGTTTTTCATTGGCAGCATCTGAAATAGGGCCGAATATTACGACAGGTCTTCTGAACCCAGCTGGAGGGGGAGAGATAAAAGACTTCGTATATAACCATGTCAAGTTTCTCAACTAAAATGACATAAAACAAAAAACAAAACAAACAAAAAAATTATATTTAAAAAAAATTATAATGTTTTTTAAATGTATTAAAAACATGAGTGTCTCAAATAATCAACACTAAATTAATAAAAAGATAATAGGATTAAACATAAAATATGTTTTAATAACTAAAAAATTTAAAAATCCATAAAATGCAAATATTCATAAATAAAAGGCCTGTATAAATTAACAAAAAACATGTCAGGTGAAACTTAATTTCTTTTATTTTCTTAATTTCAAATTTCAAAAGATTTTTAAAAATGTTAAAAATATATATTTTTATTTATTATTTTCCTTTATTTAGTCCCAAAACATTCAAATGCATTTTTAAACCGAATATTAGGTAAAGGAACGCATGATGGGTGTACCTTCCCGCAGCACCACTCTCTCGTAGGCTGGGAAGCGTGTAGTGACGGGTGTAGCGCTCAGATCCTCTCTGCTCTTGCGAAGGTCTTTTTTCTTGGCTGCTCTTTGACCTCTCAGCCTCCAGAAATCTCCTCTGTCATTGGCAGCGCCTTTCTGTGCGTTCTGAACATTCGCCATCTGCTCAGCTCTGATAGTATGCAAATAACATGATCACACAAACACCTAACAAAATAATGTGCTTTTAATGTCAACATGAAATGGCAGACTAGGTGATGTCAGCAAACGTCATTTCAGAAGGTCAGTTTTGATTCATGTTGACTTTAAGATAACTTTTCCTCCTAGTAATACTAAATAAATTCAATTAAACTAAGTCATAAAGTGAAGACATCTGCAGTGTGAGCCGCTGTGTATTTCAGGTCGAATCACACGAGTCTCACCGGCTCTTGCTGGGTATGATGCCTTTCTCCAGGAGCTGATTGTCTTTGTCCATGCGGATGGCGAGCCAGTTACCCAGCTTTCCGTCATACAGGGTGTCCACCACTTTAAATATCTCTCCTCTGGAGAAGGTCAAGCTCTGAGGAAGCTCTTTCTCATATTCAAAATGAGTTCTGATGAAGAAGTTATCACCTCGTCCAGATGCCAGGATGTCTTTATACACTAAAATAAAACAAATCAGAGTCATCAGACAAAAAATTAAATTAAATTTAAAATAACTCCTTTCTATTTGAATATATATATATTTTAAAATGTAATTTATTCCAGTGATGCAAAGCTGAATTTTCAGCATCATTACTCCAGTCTTACTGACCCTAAACTTTTGAACAGTTATGTACATTACTCTTTTGTATACTATTCTATTGTGTGTTTTGAAGTACCATCAGGTTTGCTTTGAGACAGGATGGTCACATCCTCTCCTTTGGGAATCTCTAGTAAATGGAGGACTGCGTCTTCCCGGACCATTCCTCTAAAATCCATATTATTCACCTGCAAGGAAAGAAAAACACAAATTACCACTTGACAATGTGGGAAAATGTATGACGGATTAAGCCACATAATATTAAAATGCAGAGCCAGTGATGTTGCACCTTCACGATCTGGTCTCCAGTGCGGAGTCCCTCTATCTCGGCAGGACTGTCCTCCTGAACGCCTGCGATAAAAATGCCCACATCGTTTCCTCCAGCAAGACGCAGGCCAACACTTTCGCCCTTCTGGAAGCGCACCATCACAGTGTTGGGGCTGTGGAAGATTTTTCATTAGAACCACAAAGTTGTCTAAATATAGTCAGTAGCAGTAATCAGGATCCAAGCACATGATCCTTTATAACAGGAAAGTCTGAGTCAATCCAGTACAAACCCGTATATTTCCTGGTCCTCCAGACTGGGCCGCAGGGGAACATTTGGCAGAGGCTTGGCTTTCACTGGAACACTTTTTGGAGCAGCATTTACCACAGGAGCTGTATAAAAAAACAACGCACATCATCTGTTTCTTCTATTCTACAATTATGAGATCGAGGAAGTCTTGGAGTAATGCATTACATAATTTCATTTCCATTAACCCACTGCGGTGTAGAGGAACTGTGGTACCTGGAGACTCGCTGCGAGGCTCTTCCTTCTCTACAGGTGGAGGCGGGAGCTCCACCGGTGCTGCTCTGAACGGAGTCGGCATCGCTCCCATTTTCGCCAGTCTGTTAGGAGGCGCATCTCTACCAACAGAAGAAAATAACTTACGCCCTCTGCACTGGTTTTTCCGTTGAATGTGCTCTCCGTTCATTTGGAAAATCATCCTATCATGCTTCTGCTTCTTTCTGATCAGGTTTCTGATTAAGTTATATATTTGGCTGTTTTCTAGTTTTATTAGTTGAATCAAACATAAATGTGCTTTTTGTTTAATACTGTCACCAAAATAGAGTTCCTCATTGTTTTATGCTCTGATTATTAACTAAATTATTTAATATGAAAATTATCACCCTCTGAAATGTTAATTTGGCTAATGTAAATAGTTTCTGCTAGTAACTTATAGCATCGCTATTTGTTTTAAAAGGTAGTTTGACTGTAGTTTAAATAGCATATAAATTATTAACTTTTAACTTGGCAAGCTAGTTACTTAGTAATTAACTAGCTATTTGGTAACACTTTACAATAAGGTCCCATTAGTTAATGCATCAACTAACATTAAGTAACAATGAGCAACACATTTGTTACAGCATTTATTAATTTTTAATGTTAGTTAATATAAATACAACTGTTCATCGCTAGTTCATGTTAGCTCAGGTCCATTAAATAATATTAACAAATACAGCTTTTGAATTTATTAAATGTAATTAGCTAAGATAATAAATTCTTTCACATTTTTTTATTGTTAGTTCTATGTTAATTAACGAATGGAGCCTTATTGTAAAGTGTTACAGTAACTCCAATGTTTGTAAACAATAATTGGTGACAGTTGAAGTCTGAGGGTACGGCAGTGTATTACCTGCTTTTGTCCTGCAGTCTCTCATTAGAGGAGTGTGAGGAGAGGTCAGAGTGATGACTCCGCCGGTCCTCCTGAGGAGAATAGGAGCGGTACGACTCGATCTCTGAGATATCTGCAACACACAGTACATGTCAGCATCACTAGAACAAGACACTTGCTTTGAGGCACCATTTATATCTGCAGTGCAAACGGTGCATGAGGGGTTACACACCAAGGTCTCAAAGGTTCAAATTCCAAAACCTGAGAAATATAACACCAGCTACTAATTAAAACCAAATTTGTTTTCCATCATTCTTATATCTTACATTATTTAATCTAAAAACCAATACAGATTTTCAGAAGAACATGAACAAACAACTTGCAAAACATAGGACAAGTCTCACTAGAGCTTGTAAAATGACATTTTTCATAAGCTTTGGATTATGGGTAGGGTTTATGTTATCCTCCCAAAGCCAAAAGCTTTTTCTCTCCAATCCAGTTAAAAAAAAAAGTCAGGAGGTCAGAGGTCACCTAGAGATTACGGCTGGGTTTTGCCAAATACCTCACGACATCATACATCTTCTCTTTACACGTGTCACGAGGTAATTATACATATACAAACAATATTCAATCAAACAATAATTAATATCAATTATTGTTTATTAAACATTTTAATTAAATGAAATATATTGATGCAAAAATCTTAAGTACTGATGCAATTTAGTGAAAAAATAAATATTGATATGACTGTATTGGCAGCCATAACAGAACTTTGAATCATCCTAAAATAAAAAAATAAGGTTTCTCACACATGCAGATAAATGGAAACTGTGTACACAAATGTTTGTTCAATCAAATGCTCATTTAGAATGGGAATGTCCCTCCCCTAACAGCAACAACAAACAGAAAATCACTTCACTTCGATATGTCCCACCCCAACTTTCTGATTTAATAGGAAATGCAACAACGGCATTTGTAAAGCCACTTAAAGATGGCTTTAATTCAATCAGAAATATTGTGATTGTTCATCCGCAAGTGTGTTTTTTTGATCCACTCACCATCCATTTCTGAGTCGCTGTCTGCCATAGGTGGGACTCGGATGAGCACCTGTTGAGAAAAAAAAAAAAAAAAAACTTCCATTCAAAAGTTTAGTCAGTAATTTTTTTATTATTTTTTTAAGGAACTGATGATCAAAACACCGCTGTAGTTTCACCACAGTGTTTGTTTGTGTCTCTGTGTGTGTGTGTGTGTCCATGTTTTTCTATCCCGGTGGGGACTTAAACCTGAATCCACACTGACTCATGGGGACTTGTGTCACCGTGGGGACCTAAATTGAGGTCCCCATGGGGAAACAAGCTTATAAATCATACAGAATAAGTTTTTTACAGTTTTTTTTTTTTTGCATGTCCTTATTTATATATTTGTATTGTTGGATTTTATATTATATTTTTATATTTATTATATTTAAACACTACCGTTAGCGTTTAGTGTTATCTGCATGCACCAAGGGTCTGAGAGTAACGCAATTTCAATTCTCTGTATGTGCTGTACATGTGGCAGAATTGACAATAAAGCAGACTTTGACTTGAGAATATACGATTTGTGCAGTATAAAAACCATTCCGCCTATGGAGACGAAGTCCTCATAAGTATAGTAAACCAGACTGTGTGTGAGAATACAATAGTATAATATATTATTGTTCAAAAGTTTGGGGTCAATAAGATATTTCTCTTAAATAAATTAATACTTTTATTAATCAAGGATGCATTAAATTGATCAAAAGTGACAGTAAAGACACTTATAATTTGAAATTTCTGTTTCAAATAAATGCTGCTCCTTTAAAAATTTTAATCCTCAAAAATGTAACCGGGATTCCACAAAAATATTAGGAAGCAGCACAACTGTTTTCAACACTGATAATGATCAGAAATGTTTCTTGAGTATCAAATCATATTAGAATGATTTCTGAAGGATCACGTGACTAGGGCTGTCAAAATGGCTGAAAAACTAAATTCGAATTTTTTACTTAAATATGATCAAAATTCAAATTATATTCAAATTTAAAATGCATAATTTCAGTTAGGGGTGAAGAAAAGCTTTTGGCTTCTCTCCTGAGGCCACAAGAGGGCGCATCGAGCAAAATATTACTAATGCACGTTTATTCAAAGCAATAAAATAACATAACTATCCGTGTAAAAAAGTGCATAATGTTTAAAATAATGTTTATAAACCAATTATAATTAAGTTGCTTAAACAACTATAAACAAAACAGCATCATCAGTGCTCCAGACTTATTGTTCCCACTGGTCGCTCTTTTGCGACTAACTTTCTCAGTTGGTCGCATGAGCACATGATTTGGTCGCAAATGTTTTTTTGTTTGTTTGTTTTTTTTTTTTTTTTTTGCTACAACATGGGATTAATTAATGCATGCTGATTAACTTTTTATCATAGTTTATAGTTGTATGGAAACGAAAGAGGTTAATGTTCAACCTGTTCTTTTTCATTAGTAGTATAATTTGTGATTTGAATTTTGTGAACGGGAGATCCTCTTTTGCTTGTTATAAGCCGCAGTCTTCGGATGCTTTCGCTTTTGAATTTGCAATCTTGTTGTCACGTTTTACAAGAAAAGATAATTGCCTGTTTGGCTTACATCTATACCTTTCACTTTTTAAGACTAAAACAAAAGAAGGATTCATTGTTATTCTTAATTAAAAAGCACAACAACAATAAAACAGTAAGATACAATGACAAGCTTACAAAAACGTTTAACAAAAATGAATAAGATGAGCAATTCAAACGAGTAGCGTGGTTTCGTTATGCTTTCAGTTTCGTTTGCCGTTTGATGTTTCTCATATGCAACAGAAATGGCAGCGCTTATGAGTTAAACAACGCGGTGGTCGCGCCAGTGCGACCGCTCACAAAATTTAGCCGCCCAGGCAGAAAAAATTGGGTCGCAGTCTGGAGCCCTGAGATGTATGTATGTATGCATAGTTTAATACAAAGGGCCGAAAGCCAATCACAGAGTACATTTTTCATTTAAAAACACGAGTTGCAGTGGGATGGGGGAAAAAAACATGAGGCTCTCTTGTGCTAGACGCAAGTGCAATGGTAATAGATGTCCCTCTAGAAAATGCGCGAAATATGCGTTCTGTGTGAACGGATTGGTTTCAGTTTTGACGTAAACAAGATCTTCTCCGCATTGATGTTCTCTTTTCCCGCAATATTTGTAATTAACAACGCAGCAGCGCCGCATCTAGTGGCTTTAACTGGATAGGTTAACAAAAACATTAAAATGCAATGACTTTACATCGTCATCGCATCTCGTGCACCACTGATAAGGCTGCCTCCTTAACGCACACCTAAAATTCGAATGTGGATTTTAATTTTAAATTTGACGAATATTCGAAATTCAAATTTTTTTTTTGACAGCCCTACACGTGACACTGAAGACAGGAGTAATGATGCTGAAAATTCAGCTTTGATCACAGAAATAAATTATATTTTTAAAAATAAATTCATATAGAAAACAGTTATTTTAAATTGTAATAACATTTCACAATATTACTGTTTTACTGTATTTTTAATCCAATAAATGCAGTCTTGCAGGTGAGCATTAAAAAGTTGCTTGGTGAGCAAAAACATCAAAAAACTAAAAAAGTGCTTTCAGTGCAAAACACATTGCCACAATGCAAAGGCACTGCTGTGGTTGACAGTGCACTGCAGTGTGGTTGCTAAGTTGTTCTGAGTGCTGATGTGAATGGTTGCCATGGAATTGCTATACGGTTGTGGGTTGCTTCTAGAGCTTTGCTATGAAGCTGCTAAGGTTTTGTGGGTGGTTGCTAGGGCATTGCTATGTGGTTGCTAAGGTGTTCTGAGTGGTTAAGACGTACTTTCAGAATGATGTCGCCTTCCTGTAGTTTGCATTCTTTGGATGCCAGGCCTGTGCTCGTCATCTCTTTGATGAACAGCTGACTGCCAAGACGAAGGCCATATTCTGGATAGATATGAGAAAACATCATGTTAGTGGTTTGGCTGAAGGTCGAAACTGGAAACAGATAAATGAAGGTGGTACGTATCTACCGTCATTGGGGCGGTTCTTTAGAAGAGTAACATTGAGCGGCTTCTCCAAGGGTTCGTGTCGTTGTGGTGGTGGTGAGGGCAAGCGATCCAGCCGGTCTCGACTGCTACTCCTCCTCATGGATTCATCCTGGTGCGGATCCAACCTCCTGCGCTCGTGGTCGCTGGCTAAATTCTCTCTGCTGAATCCCGGAGCTGGTTCTGGCCTGTACCGCGTATCAGGACTATGTGATCTGTCCAGCGTACGATCGCTGCGGTACTGTCTGTCTGGACTCCGCTCTCTGTCCAGGTTGTGTTCGCTGCGATAGCGTCGGTCTGGACTGTAGTTGCGGTCCAGCGTGCGATCGTTTCGGTAGCGGCGGTCCGGACTGTGGTCGCAATCCAGGTTGTGGTCACTTTGGCAACGGCGGTCGGGGCTGTGCTCGTGGTCCAGCATTCGGCCGTGGCTGCCGTCTCGTCTGTACTGTCTGTCAGGGCTCACGCCGCGCTCCATACTCCTCTTGCGACTGCGCTCATAGTCACGATCGTGATCATCCATGTAGCCACGGTCGCGCTCCAGACTCGCGTCAGGATCAGGGTAGCTGCGGCCACTGTAGACGCTGCGCCGGTCGTGGTCATAGTCGTAGTCGTCATTGTAGTCACCGCTGAAGACGCGGTCGTCTGGGGACGGCCCACGTTTGATCACGCTGACGGGAATTTTTCTTGATCTCTTTACCGTCTGATGAAGGATGGGGACAAAAATGAAATCACTCATTCATTAAACTCTGATTTCACCTGCCAGTGATTTACAAACATGGCCCAAAAAATGCTTGATCGAAATAATTCAAAAGGTTACACTCACGATTTTGGCTACTTTGCCACATTTGCGGAGAGTCTGCACTGCAAAGGTGTGTTGGACACCGTCCATGGGCACATTGTTGACCTGGATCACTCTGTCATTTTCACTGTACAACATCATGAAAGACTGTTAGAAAATGTCTCTACATTTGAGAAAATGGCTTCAAATCCTTCCAACAGTTGAGGAATTATCAGAAGTACCAGCATTTTGGTGCTGACATTAAAGTCTATATTAAAATTCGAATAACAAATAAAATCTTTAATAATTGATAGTGTTGGCAGACAACAAATGCAAAGCAATGCAATGCAATAAAATAAAACTTTATTTGTATTTTTTATATTTGGGGTTATTTATCAATTGCTTATAACTAGTTTCTTGCATCTCTATTACTGACTGTTTACTGTGTGAAATATTTTTATATAAGGATACATGCCAGTTTCATTGAATTTCTTTTGTCAATTTTAAATAAAAAGCAATATAATATATATACTTTCATATATAACTCTTATCTTGTCAAATAAAATTAGTGCATTGATTAGAATATTCACTTTAGGATTACAAATCTTTTAAAAAAGGTTGGGATGTGTTTAATATTGTTTCATAGCTTACAATAGCAAGCCATCTGCAGGACCCCCTTGCAGCACATCGGAAACAACAATTAACGTTTCTCCATTTTCTTCATTTGGGTTGTCCCGTCCTCCAGACACAGCAATGCCAAAGCCCATCTTGGAGTCCTATATATAGGTAAAGAATCTTTTGCATGAATCCGTAGTAGCCATTTATTCATTTACAACAATAAAACACTTTAAATTCATGCAGATGTACAGGCAGCAATGGATAATTAACAAGTTAACCTGGAATTACATTTTCCTGCCTTTGGATATAACAGTTATATAATCAAAACAAATATTACAAGTTTATGTGTGATACAGTTCACCAAGAGGATGAAGCGATTATATGTTTTCTGCTGAGAGACAGCAGTGGTGGAAGATGTATGACAGTGTGCCCTACTGTTCAAAAATTTTGCAAAAGATGTCTCTAATGCTCACCCACAATGCAAAAGTCTTTACTGTCATTTTTGATAAATTGAATGCATCCTTGCTAAATGAAAGCATTCATTTTTTTTTTTCAAACAAAATATATCTCACCAACCCCAAACCTTTGAACGGTAGTGTACCTGCCCCTGCACTCAGATTGCACAAGAAATCTAATGCTAGAGGTGCAGAAATGACACACTTCACTTTCAAGGGGGAAAAAAATCTTATAAAAACACAAGAATGTAAAGAATTTTATGAGAAACCAATAAGCAGGAACAGTACTTTAGCTCTCGAAATAAACATAGGGTGAAGTACTCACCCGCTGTAGGGTCACAGTGTACTGCTCCCACACAGTCTCCTCCATGATTGGGTTCTGAAACAGTACGAGCAGGTTTATATGTAGGACAGTGATGGACAGAGTCAAGTTACAGCAGATATCAGTGATCTCCTGAGCAAAATCTGCAGCGTGGTGCTGCCACAGTGAAAAAGTATACGAGTGTTTCTCTTCCAACCCATTTACATGAGCTCATCTGATTACTCAATGGAACGACTGAACTGCAGATCTGAAATATGTCTATATATTAAACCAGAAATGAATAAAACAAAAGAATTAAGAGATCTACAAGAATGAGCAATTTCATAAAAAAACTGACATCATATGTGGACTGCTAAAAAAAACTTAAATGATTAACAAATGTATGGCATTTAAAATAAAAAGCCTACGTTATTTGAAAGTAATTATTTTAAAAGGAAGCCTAGTCATTGAGTTAAACACTATAAACATGGCCTTCAGGATCAGTCTGAGAGCCACGTGAAATGCCTCTAGTTACCTCTTCATCCACCTGTGCGAACGCTGGGTGATTATGACTGTTGCTCTTTAATCTTCTCAACTAAATATGAATCCCAGTGTTGCCCTAAATAATTCTCAACTCAGAGTCCACAACTGGCACAGCCGATGCCTTGTAGCATTTCACGTATAAATGATTCCAATTTGTTGGTTTTCGTCACACTGTTACTGCACTAGTTAAATCAAACTAAACACTGCGACATCTTTAAGGCAATCATACGCTCCTCATGCCATCATAATACATGCTTGCACCTCACTGATCATGTAATATCCATGGGTGTCACCGTTTTAAAAAGTGGTGAATGTCACAAATGAAAAGATTTAGGCTAGTGTTTGAGGTTATACACAAATAATCTATCATGATCTTTTAAAGATCAATTTGAGAGCTCAAATGATCTTCAGCATTTGTAGGTCAGTGGATTGAATGTCAGACATGACCCTGGTCTAGAGGTAATGTTTTAGTTGGAAAGCACAGGATTTGGGGTTCTATACTGCCCTACTTTGTATAATCTAAAAGTAATGTTTTTTTTATTTTTATATGCTTTTTATTTCATGAATAAACCAAAATTGCAACTGTGGAAAACTGAGAATGGACAACCACAACAACAAAAATAGGCTATAACAAATTCCAGCACTGGATCACCACTTATTTTAGCACACATTAACAAAATGAAAAATCCTATTCAAAAATGTAACATTATTCCACATTATTTGATAAACCTTTGCTGTGAACAATATCAAAAAGTGGTGGGGAAAAAATCAGTCATGGGAAAAAGTTTGGAAACATGTTCCACTTGTTGCCACCGTAAACTATCAATATATATATTGCAACAGCACACTGAGCAATTGTTACACTTTGAAAGCAATTTTGTAACTTTTGCTAAACCTTGAACTCTACTCTCTTGAATTTCTACATCAAATTATAAAATGCATCAGTGTATGAAATGCAATAAAAATGTGCATTGCAATATCTCATACTGACAATAAAAATTCAACAAATCAATTAGGAAATGTAATAATTGTAATAACTATAATAATAACTAAAATTTCACTTTTTTTCTTATGAAATATGACTCATTTCCAGTTGTCAAAATCCAACGCTACAGTAAATATCCTTCCATATATATATTTTTTGACAATAGTTATGAATTTTACCAATATAAACTAAATATATTACACTGCCACAATGTACTGCATTGTTTAGTAAAGAATCCCTAAAGAGTTTCCTACCCATACTTACACTGCTACCAAACACTATGCCATTCCGTCTAATCAACCTACAGTATACGCTGACAGCGGTTGAAAAGCCATTCAACAAAAACTTCACACTTCACCCAAACTGCGTAAGACATTAACAGGTGAAGTTGTACAGCGAAAGAACAGAAAGCATGCTTACGATGCCCTGGAGGATGCGAATGGCCTTGATGGTGTGCGCCCATTTCCTGTGCAGCGAGAGGACCGTCTTCATGTTGTCACCTCTCCCGTGAACACAGTGCCAAAGCGCATCACCTCTGGGCACAATGCATCTGTCTGCCTTTGACGTAAGACTGATGCCGCTGGCCTACATTCTGTGCAAATTCCACTGTCCACAGCGACCCACGGCAGCCGCGACGCAAAAAAAAAAA